TGCCCATTGCTCTTCGTCGCACTTTTGTGTAAGTTTTCGAAGTGGAATATTTTTGGAAAAACTGCGGTGGGGTTACCGGGCACAAGCGAAGTATAGCTAGCGGATACAGTAGAGTGATAACATATTTTCACCCCGCTTTCACTTGAATTTGTGTGATTTACGGAGTAGAGAGAAATTTTGGGTGGGGTTAATGGATTGAGTTTATAACCTAGAGAAGAAAAGTGCATTTTGATTTGTTAATGCTGTGTAGACATCTAAAAATTTACGGGTCTTTTTACAAATCGCATTGAATCATTGGTCAAAGAAGACCCCTCCATGACTCGGCCTTTTACAGTGGTTATATGGATAAGTGATGTAAAACCCACTTTTTCTAAAAACTTGCTGTTTTTATATATTCTATTGCTGCTTTAAGCAATTCAAATACATATTGAGCTATCTCCTCAAATTTCGATTTTCAAATTCTCTTTTACTTGTGAAGGCTTACAAAGCTTTCAAAGATTTTAAAGGTTTTGATAGGCTACCTAACAGAATTGTTGAGGGATAGACCCACTTTAGTATACTAGCGTACTGAAATCTACATTTACAATACTTCAGTATATTAGAGTTCATCATATTAATTTTCAAAGAGCGTGATATTTTGATTGGTTAAAGCCCTTGTATGTGGGGAAAAGCACGGCCGCTTTTTGGTGTGTTTTACAATACTTACCCTTACAACCATCGTACATCCTAAAAGAAAATTTGAATCGCTCGAATGTCGAGACTGACATCAAATCTACCGTAGGATTAACGCATTTATTCGTTCCAATTTGATTGGGTGGGGACAGACGTCAAAAGTCCTCGACATCACCTATGAACAACCCCTCTGGAAAATCAACTAAAAACGCAAAAATATTGATTTTTGGCAACGGATTCAAACCGATGATACTCAGAGTAGCTCCCTACACAGGGCTCGAACCTGTAGCCTCAAGATTCAGGCATGTCTTCGCATATGATTTCGAAGCCTTGATAGAAGTCTTGCGCGCTACCATTGCGCCAGCAGGGAAATCTTAGGATTTTGTATGATCACGTCACGGATTTTGTGTATATATAATAATTTATCATTAATGTCTTTTTCTGTACAGCATAGCATCATCGGTATCTCCATCTATATTGACTTTAGATAGATACGATTTGTCTGTTTCTTCAGATCTTGTAGTGCGGTTTCTAAAGGCGTTTATTCTAGCTAATCTCTCCCTGTCTGAGCGAATCGTCTCCCGACGAGCTTCTCTCAAGTCCATCTCAAGCTTCAAAACATCCTTATGGAACAAATATTCATGTGATATGGGACCTTACTGCATTTTCTTTTTAAGAAAAGTTCGATATGTCCTATCAAGTAGGTGATGTTCGATAAGCGAGCTCAGGTATTCTCTTTGAGTACATGAAGGCGTTACTATATGCAAGTGATGATGTATCTATCTATTTGTTCATCTATCCACCCATCCATCGCAATGCGAGAGTAGATATTGGATGGAAAAGTTTGCAGTCTTTAAATTGTGCTGATTCTTTTGTCATTTACATGAGAATATACAAAAAAAGACGTGGCATCTTAGTATCATAGGCTGGTGGGTGAATTGGAGGGTGCCAGATATTGATATGTATGATGGCGGGATGTAATAACAATAACATCCCATCTCTATTGCGTAATGGTTCTTAATCTGCATTTCACCTCTCCTGATCTTTTCGAAATTTCTCGTGGGATCGGAATCATCACCAAGAAAGTGCTTTCTCCAAATCTAGTTCTGGGTTATATAGTGCTCAATACAAGTTAAGTCATCCTGTCCTCACAACCTTTAACCTACATTCTGTGAAATTAAAAAGCATCTGTCATCATGTTTAACGGAGTTTCTTACTCCTCAGGAAATTTCTTGCTACTTTTGAAAATCCTACTCTCTTGCGACATCCTTTTACCTTTGAAGAGATCAGATGTTGATGTACAGTTGCTCCCACCAATTCAAGGGATATACGTCGACAACGCATTGCCAAGTAATTTTTCAAATGAACTCTCCTAGAAGAAATAAAGCTCTTGGAGCCAAGACAAGAGTTCCTGTAGTTCACATCGTAATAGGGAAATGAAAGACATTTGACTCCCCAAATTCGCACAGAATACATACACCCCCTAATCTGTAGCCTTGAATCCGATTTGTGATTTAAAGTTTTTGAGATACTAGATGTTATACTTAAGGGCTATCTCGAACTATTGAATACCTTAAAGGAGGATAGAAAGTTACTATGGAGATTTTTAAGAAACTGTGTGGTAGAGCTCTTTCACTCTTTTCATGAGAGATGCGAGATCCACATGAATTTGCTTTAGGAACAATGAGTCCTTCGCGTAGAAATGAGGAGATTCACTGGTTGATTCTCTGGAATTGGTCCTTGGAGATGACAAAATGAGCTTCGGGGAATATCTACGATCAACAAAAGTATAGAAGTTCTACAATGATGTCAGTGCGAAATACAGGAAGGTAGGAAGTCGAGGGATCCCACAAATCTAGAGGTGGCTTCAGGAAGACATCTTTCTACATTGAGCCAGCTGTTTCTATGGCGATAAACAGATTCTTTTAGTCAAACAATCAACATACAATCTACTGCTTCACAATCGATCATATTTCGCTATAGTTGTTCAATACATACAACAATCTCGAACGAGCAAAACCAATCTGAAAAGATTACCACTTGTACATCCCATCTACTCGCACCCACTCAGTCACAAAAAATCACTCAACCCACCATATAAGCCGCCGTATCTCCTATCAACGCATCCCTCTTCCTCTGAACCGATCTAATCAATTTCGCTGCCGGATTTGGACAATTCCCAAGCACACAAACATTATTTCCACAACATGTATCCCAAGCGCATACATAAGCATTTGGGCAATCCCCATCATCATAACAATCTTTAGCTTCAGCACATCCAACATTTTCACCGCAGAAACCAAGGCCTGTAATGGTGTTGAAACAGAAACAAGTCGAATCGACAGCGCATGGTTTGATGCCTTCTTCGCATTTGGTGGGGGTGCAGGGAATGGTGTTGCAGGTGCCGTGTTCACAATAGCCGGTATCACAGACGTAGCCGCAGGAGCCGCAGTTGAGAGCATCTTTCATGAGGGCTTTGCCTGTGGGACAGACTGGAGGAAGTCCGGTGGTAACGGTGGAGGTAGTGAAGGTGGTGTATGTCTGGAATGTTGTCAGTAGATCATTTTGGCAGACATGGAGAATACACTTACAGGTACAGTTCTGGTAACGGTATCAGGTAAAATTCCCCAACATGAAAACGCACTCGAATAACGGGCTTCGTTTGAGCAAGCACTAGCATATGATGGAAGTGAAAAGGTAGTTGTTGCTACCGCTCTCTTTCCCACGGTAGATACTTCGGTAATTGTTGTCAAGATGGTAGATGTAACAGTGATATTAATAACATCGACTGCGCAGAAGTTTTCCATGTACTTGACGCAGTCATCATATGCTATAGCTTGTTGAAAAGGTCCACGAAAGTCTCCACTAACTGCACGATAACAATTATCTGCATTGCAACGTGAAGTTGATGGAGTGGTGATGGTGTTGAGATCTGCGATGCATATTCCTGCAATAAGAAGAAGTAATCTTAAAGAACTCTGCATCGTGAAGTCTAGCGATGAATTTCAGATGGTAAAGATATCTAAGAAGAAGAAACTGTAACATCCTCATGGAGGTGTTGAACCTTTATAATGAAAAGCCTGACCCGCATCAAAATTCAGACCCTGATTGTACAGCTGTATCTTATATCAACGCCTCTCCCATATCTATCACAAATTTCAGCATGGCGATTGTTCCTTCGGGTGCCTAACCATGCGATTACTACCATGAAAAACATGGTATATGATGTACGAACTGAGGGGATATTCAGGAACGACAATAAGGAAAGGCCGAGTATAACGCCTTGGTCCTTGTTCATGCTGTGAAAAAAATGCAGTGTTCAAGTATTTGCTCAGCTTTTGAATATCTTGGAACTTTCCAAATCATGGCACTAACCAACTACATGATCGGAGATTTGCACGAACACGTCGTCGACCCTATTGAATTCTTGCGTAGAAAGTGATCATGATCTGATTCTTATCATATCGCATCTTGGGATAATTCTCGTTGTTTGCTTCATTGATTGGAAGGGGTGGGGTAAGCTACACAAAACCCGTTGATATGCGACTCTTGTTTCTGAACAGCACTCATCAGTTCAGAGTAGAGCACAGTGCTAAGATCTCAAGCAGCATATTGATGGCAAATCAGTCTCAGTGGGCAGCTGGACATGAAAACTCTATAAGAAAATACTTGAATGACTCAACTTAGGTAACAAACGAGAACATGTAATGCAGGATCCCGCAGAAGCCTGCCTCGGCCGTTTGCAGGAAAAACATGCAAATTTCATGGAATCCACCAAGCAGATGTTCCAGCAAATGAAATCTGTAGTGTTAGTATCCTTCTCGGGTTTGTCCTAGCCTCAAGTAGTCACCGAGGAGATGATGTTTGTGTAGCTAGGTAGGGATGGTAACATCGTCAGATGTAGACCAGACCTTTTCAACCAGAGGTTTGCCAGTCGCGGAGTACAACATGTGTTACATAATCCTGGATATCTTTCAACGTCATTCAAATATTTGATATGGTACGATAAAAACTTCAATTTGTTCTCTGCCAATAAAATATACCACCAGTTCTTCAAATGACAACCGTCACCACCGACGTGAGAGGATTGAATATGATGTGATACCGCAGAACACATGAGCATCTCACAATATCACGATGTGATTATCTCTTAGGACACGAGGAAGAATATATTATGAAATTATATCATTGTTGCTAGCTCAATACTTTGCAGTCATTATAATTCATCATTGACCTAGGACTAATAGGATATCCGAAATTATTTTCGCCGTACACAGCCGACGTTCCCATTACTCAAAGTGCAGACATCACTGAGTCTTTGGGACAATTTAAGAAGCTTGTCCTCCCTTCTTGCCAGCCTCGACTGGATCAACCTTTCCGTGTGCAAATTCTGGAATGGACCGTTAGCATCGAATTTTGTGAATGAGGAGAAGCATGTTGGAGTGAAGACATACCGCCTTTGCCACTACCACTGCTGCCAGTGGTGGAGGGGCTCTCGGTGCTTTCGTCACTGGTAGATCCACCCTTGGCTCCAGCTTCCTGTGGTGAGGGAAGACTGATTAGCAGATTGAAACACATAAAGGATACAAGTTGCTGGAAAGGCAATAGAGGTGATTCTTACAACTGGGTTGACTTGGCCGTGAGCAAACTCGCCAGTTCCAACTCTCTTGTCTGGGGTACCGTCCTCCTTAAGACCTCCGTGCTCTGAAAAAGGTATTAGCAATGTTCATGCCAGACAGAGGTGGAAGAAGCAACTTACCAGTTGGCTTGTATGTTCCGCTCATTTTGAGATTGTTTGATGGGTTATTTGGTATGTTGTTGGAGTTGTTGAACTATTTGAATGTTTGGAAGATGTGAATTGTTTGTTGATGATTTAAAAGTGTTTGAATGGGAATACTAAAGTATATATAGCCATTTCACCCTCCTGCCTGCTTGATTCTTTTACCCGGAGCATAACTCCCGCTCAACATCGACAGGAGGGGTAAGTGAATGATGCTAAACTTGATTTGAGTAGGCAATAATTCAAGCAATACCTTGTTTTCGATCAAGCAGGTTCACTGTTATTGCGCATTTTGCTATAATACTTAAAGCAATGGCCCTGATATCATTTTATCATGATGTCAATGGATCGTTACAAACCCTGCACCTGAAGCTTTTCCGAGTGGTGATTGGAGAAGATCTAGCTACCCCCCTGGTTGCCAATACCGGATTCTCAAAAAGCCATCAAAAAGCAAATCGTGGAGTTATCCTGGGGAAAATGAGGATGATGAAAAGATTGATACTTAGATATTCTGACGTGGCAACCTGGAAACGCTAGGCAAGATCAACAAAACAAAAACAAGATCACGAATGCAAACGGCACGGCACAAACACGAACACGATGGTGACGTGCATGATAATATGGGGATTCCACGCTATCATGTGATCATCGCGATTTGATTGTTCTTGCCAAGAGAACACTTTAAGAGACATCAGAAAAATATGAAAGCAACCAATGTTGATTGGTTCATGGAAACTTCTTAATTTCATATGTATACGAGCTATGTTGTTTTATGAAACGCGTCAAACGCATGGTAATGGGCCAGACCGTCTGAGAAGAGACGGAGCAAACCATCCTACCGGCTATACTTGACTTCTTGATCATCACTGCCGTCATTCGGCTCTGGCAATGAGAAAATAAAAAGGGATACTGCATGATAAGTCTCAAAGCTCGTGATATTAATCCATAAGCACGTATCATAGAACCGGCGCCCTCACATCGATTTGCTAAGTCTCATTCTCCATCTTGGTTTGCGTTGCACACATTGGTCTAGAGCCTTTCTTCACTGACTTCTCTTTTGTCTTATTCTCTTTCTTCCTTTCTTCCTTTCTCTGTTTCTTCCCTCGATTCTCTTCTTTTGCCAAGAAGAGAAGAGGAGAAATGTTCCGATCCCCCCCCAAATCATATGATATAGTTATACATTGACATTATCAAACTATACAACTCTGTATACATCTGATAAAGAGGTAAGATGCCTCACGGCATACAAAAATCTCACAAAACCTCAACTCAAAGTTTTCTCGCAAGCTGTAGAATGTGAATTCTCAAGTGAGACTGTGATATCAAAGCAGCAACACAATATTTCTCGCAGGTTCTAAAACATGACCTATCAAGTGAGATTGTAGTAAACTTGCGTCAATATTTTCCGCAGATTTCTTTTCAGTAATCCCACTCAGGTCTTTCACCACTTGAAGCAGTTCGCAATATGCTTGTTGAAGATGTGACAATGAATGGATGAAACAAATTGTATGAAGAGAATACGATGAAACGAACAATGGCATTCATGAAATAGCGGACTTAAATCTTCCAGTGGATTCATGTAGCATGAAAACTGTCGACAGCTCATCTTCTATATGGCCTTCAAAATTCACTATCTTGTATGGCAGGAAGCTGTATACCTTCAATTCGAAGTCACATGAGAGGTATGAATTCAATACAAGGTATTGTTGTAGTCGAGCAATAATACCTTTGTCTACTCATTGCCAGTATCATACTGTACTTTTGTAGATGGTTCAATTAAAGACCTTTATTTTGATTTGTCAAGGAACCTTGTTGTCTACTGTACCAAAGACAAACCCAATACAGCACCTTAATGCCTCTCAGGCGAATCCATACAATCCAAATTTATGAAAACCCCAAGTAACGTAACCGACAAACCACATCACCACATCAACAATTCACTCCTCCGTACCAATTTCCAATTCCCACACCCTCCCAACATAAAAGGTCCCAGAAATCATGAAACCTCACTCATGGCTCGAAATCTTCCGCAGTAAGAAAGTACTCTCAAGAAGCGCTTCCACACCCACAATGTCTTTCCCATCCGCACCCGCATCTTCACCTTCCAGGAATCTCCCCAAAAAACCCTCGAAAAACAAAAAATCCTCGCGCGCGGATAATCTCCCAGGTAGTTCCAACAGCCAGTACGCACTCCCCGGCAGCGAAACCTCTGGATACGATTTCGAGATTTTCGAAGACCCGCGCTGTGCGATCTGTGATGGAGATTTGCCTCCTACTGAGAGACGTGAGTTTTCTCCTCTCCTCATCTCTATATGACTAACCCCCACCCCAGCACAATCTCACCTCACCCCCCAACTCTGCGCGTCCTGCCACCTGCAAGTCACGCATCTCAAAAACGAGCGCGAGAAACTCCTCCGTCAGCAGCGCAAAAAACAACTCGCCCAAATGCACGAGGCACTCGAAGCGGTTTCCGCACAGGCGGAGTTGAGACGCGTGTTGACGGATGGGAATGAGAGGTTACGGGGAGAAATCGAGGAGATTGAGAGGGAGATGGAGGGGTTGCAGGGAGGAGTGAGTGAGGAGATGAGTAGAGAGGGTTAGGGTGGTAGAGAGGGGAGGTTTATGAGGGGATAGGATGGAGGTGTGGGGATATGGCTTTGCTTATGATGATGATGATGATGATGTGTCATACATGCCCAACTACGGTTTCCAGATATTTGCACGGCAGGATGGTACGCGAAGAATAGGCCGCGGAGCTCGCAGTGGTACTGAACGGATAGATGATTTTGCGGTTTTATGATACCCAGGCTGGCGTTTGCTGTTCGGATTTTTATGAGGTCAGGTCGCCCATTAGTTATGTGAATGAACTGATGAGAGATTCTTCACTCGCTTCACGTTCTCTAATACATGCTATTTTCTAATCTTTGGTCCCAAGCCGTAATTTATACTCTATTTGTTTGAGCTGTGATGAATAGACTATTCTGTGGATAACAAAGCATCTGAACCAGTATTCAAATGATTATCGGCAACTGCATGTGTTGTGTCCCATCATTCCATGCAACCAACGGTGGCTCACTCACATACATCCACGTCACACAAATCCATACTTCTACATCCATTTGATGATATGTTATTGAATTCCTCGTATACTATTGAATGTCTAACGCTTGCGTGTAAGGATAGGTATTGTTCGGTATCACTTCCTTGCAGTAGAAAATCTTTCAACGAACCATCCATCAACTATTCGAACCTTCCTTTCATATGTACAAGTATTCTTACTACCTACACCCAGAAACGGCCCCCAGTATCCATGATCCAAAAACAAAATAAACGGCCCGAAAGGAAACACAAAGTTAAGAAACCAGGGTATCATTCCCAAACTCGCTCTGCTCCGTTGTAAATGCAATATCCACCCCTCAAATTCAACGAAAGTCGTTTCCCAAGCTAGAAACAACCTTCGATACAACCATTTCTCCCCGTCTAATCCACGTCATCATTGACTGGGATTGGTGACCTAACTGTTAATTCGGCTGATTCATCACTCCCGGTATCCTTATCCTTCGTTGGCGAAGATATTGAAATTTCCGGACTTGACCCTAACGCCGCGGCTCTCTCAGCTCTCTCAGCTTTGCGTGCTGCATTCCTTGCCTCTCGCTGTTTAACTAAATCCTTTTCCGCCTCAATAGCCCTTGCTCTTCTGATTTCAATCTCATCTCTCTTAACTACTTTGCGTAAACCTTCCGAAGCATGGATTAAACCATCGATACTGATCGCATGATTCGTCATTTGATGATTGATGTATGTGTAAACATTTGCAGGCGACGAGCATTGAAGTAATTGTTGTTCATTTAGTTTCAATAGAGCGAGTGCCACCTGGAAGAGAAATGTGCTACCATCATTCATACAGAGCACAACGTCCCATACTCTGAATAAGGCTTCGGCCGATAAACAATCAGTGAAGACACTGAGGAACCATTGAAAAGTGAGGGCTTCGAGCTCGATACAGAGGTCGTCTAGATGTTGGGACAATCTTGGAAGGATCTCGGAGACGTATTGTCGCAAGACTTGTTGGTCTGCTCTAGAAGCTAGAAGGCTGTGATCATAGTATCCAGGTGGTAAGGTATGCTCAATGATGCTAGTCAAGACCCAAAAAGCATCCTCTGCAGTCGGCATGATAAGCAACAAACATGCAGTAATTAAGTTCATCCCTTGACAATACCCAACTTCATGGTTTCTTCTTGAGTAGGCTAGGAGTACCTCGTTGAGCTTAGCGACTCCAGGACCTTTTCGAAAATAAATGTTATCCGTCAATGTGCGATTGATATCCATTTGAATTTGAGCAACAACTACCGGATCATCGTCTTCCTCACTACGAGCTATCAAATCATCATAGTAACCTGGAATGCGCATTGCAGAAGCTCCAGAGCACTCGGCCCAAATTTTGGCTCTGTAAGCTACTGGAATACCACCAAGGACCAGATTTTTAAACTCATTCCACTTAGCACGGCCAACCTTTCCTTTATTGCCCAAACCAGAAACACCAATCATTTCTCCATCTGCTAAGCTTGCTTCGGGCATAACTGGTATAGGTCGATGAGACCGTGAATCTGTATTCAAGGCAAGAGCGGCAGCAGCTGCCTCTCCTTCACGTTTACGTTCGGCCCTGACTTTGCGAAGGAAATCGTTCCATCGTACTGTTTTGTCTCTTTGAAGAGAATCATGAACTTCGCCCAGTTGTTGTAGCAATAGCTTCACAGGTTCAGTATCTTCTGGTGTAGGATCTGGTGTAGAAGTCGTTGAGGACGTAGGCTTGGAGATTGTGGCGGCATCTGATGCGATAGACAATGCAGGGGCTGATGTAGTCGCCAAAGGAACAAATCCTCTTTCTTCGGTTAGTATTCCAGGAGATCTTGGCACCTCGCCTCCTTCCATGACTTCAAAGGCAGGCATACTACCCGATGGTGTATGAGCTAGCAATTCTGTGGGAAATGTTGCTATTTTGAGATAGTCTTGCCAACGTTTGACTGGCTTATCTTCATCATCAACCTTATCGTCAGTTGCTGTGGACCCGGGTGAACCTGGCCGAAGATCATCGATATCATCACCTTCAGTCACTGCCGCAGAGATAGTGCTACTCCTCCCACCACTGAGCATCTCTACGCGACTACCTCTCTTTCCTTTTCGCATCCTCTCAGCGGCTTCTCTTTGTCTTTTCTTGCGTCGCTGATCATATATAAATCCAAATCGGTCAGTCAGAAAATCTGGATTATTATAGTTTCTATATTGCATCAAGGTTGGTGGCTGATCTTCTGGTGCTAAGATTGTATCCATTTCGACGGGACCAAAATTCTCTCTGACCGTGGTGCTCGAGCCCTGTGGACTAGACCCCATCGTATCCCACCTCTCCTGTGCAGCAACAGTCGTATTTTGTGTCAGTGGGGTAGGATTGCGAAGGGCTCTAGGGTTCATCTTTGGTACCGCCCGAGCAGAAGTTGTGGACTTGGTACTAGTTGTAGAAGGGGTTCGACCCGATGGTTCAGTTTCGGCACTGTTCGATCTGCCGCGACCTGTTTTACCATCCGGATCACGAACAGTCGCTGTACCGGCAACAAGCTTTAGTGCCAAAGTTGCTAGACTAGACTGTTTCCTTTGTCGATTGCCAGCTATTGAACCACTGCTGGGAGGTCGGCTCAAGCTTTCCAAGGAGGACACAGCATCTGGCGGGTGGAAAATATCATTTTGCAGAATTGTGCGTCGGCCTGGACCTCCACTACGTGCGTGAGCGGTTGCGCCGTTGGTGATCACATCTCCATTTATGCTGCTTGCGCGGCTGGTTGTACGACTTGTCTTACTTGTCCCACCCCAAATATAATCCTTCCATCCTCTTGACGTTCCAGTGTTTGGTTTACCTGGCGAAGGCTCTTTGGCGCGTATTGTAGCATCATTTTCCAAACTATCCAATTCACCTGCGACCACTGTTTCACCCATAGCATCATTCATTAGATCCTCTAATGCAGATTCGCTTGGTGCAGCTGGGACACCCGAGAGCTTTCGCTCGCCTTCGATGGCCCGCAGACGAGTTTCCAAGTCCAAGTTCGATAAACCGCATTCCAAGATAATCTTTCTCAATGATCTTTCTCTTTCTTCTGCTTTGCGTCTGAGAGCAGCTATTTGAGCATCTCGTCGAGCTAAATCCTCTGCAATTTGCCTGACCAACTTGACAGCTCCATTCCTTGCTATCAATCTCTCAATGTGTTCATCGTTTGCATGATGCACTGACCCAGGTACTTGAGAGGAGCCCAATGGTGCATCGTCGAACAAGGCAGAACGGCTGTGCAAAGAAGGGGAGGATGTAGTTAAGCTATCGACAATTGAAGCTGCGGCAGAAGCCTTTCGATTCGCGATTCCATCGTTTGTAGGTAGTATGAAGTGGGATCGTTCTTGTGTTGGCGAATCACCCGAGAATGAGGGGAATGAAGTTAATGATTTATCCGATATCGATGATGCGGAACTCGATATTTGCGAAGCCAATCTTCGTGACTTTCCACGTACTGTCTGCGACCGTTGACTCCTCATCGAGGCGGCTGAAGCTGTCCTGGAAAGATGCCCCGTGATATCATTTTCCATCGCTATTGTATCGTGGTTGATATCAACAAATGAATCCTCCCATTTGTTCCAATTGTATTCACTTTCCTCTTGAAATCTCAAGATAGAATTTGTAAAAGATTGGGAAGCAGAAAAAACATAAGAAGATTCTGTAAAGGCTGGAGTTTGGAATAAGAAAAATTGACCGTGTAATGTATGGGAATTAGTAGATAATGTTGATTTACATTCGTAGTCGCTCCATGCCTTTTTTGTTAATAAAGGTCGAGACATCATCATCACTGATAACTCGCGTATTTTGTGTAACACCGAGCACTATCAAAAAAAAATCGAGAATATGTAAAACAAGCAAAGGTTACATACACACACAAGTCAAACTAAGAGGGGAAAAAAAGCAAAAAAAACGACTTACATATAGATTCGATGAGGTCTCATCAATTGTTATACAACCAACGAAGATATACAGTACAGTATGGGATAGGAACAACGATTCATGTTCTCTTAATATCGGAAGACGTAATTCTGCATTCTATGAGCCAATTTCTGTCTTAGAAATGGCGCATATGAATTTCTGTTGGGTTTATGCTTTCTTCTCTGCTAACAAATACCATCATGTGTTACAGAGTATCACTCAATCCCACTCTTTCCTTTGGTGATCGCATATGCAGACGCTCACATTGTGTGTACCTACTAACAAGTAGGTAGATTACCATTTGAAAGATGGATCAGGCGGATCAAAGCGATTAAAAGATCAATGGAGTTGAGGATTTTCAGTATATGGGTACCTAGGTACTCGAGTAAGTACCTAGTTGTAAGAAGCGCTCGATGAAAAGATCAGAGCTCAAAGTAAAATCAAACGAAATCAAACGAAGATACATACTCGAGTACATTCAGAAGAGTACTGGTACTACTCACATACTTACATACCTACCTCCATACTCACATAGAGCGGCGAGGGCCGAGGCAATGGGAGATCTTACCTTACCCCAGACTTTGTT